CCACTCCGGGCCTGGCAGGACCCTGGGAGGGGATCCCTGGGTCCAGGAGAAGAGGCCCATGGTCGTTAATAAAGTCAGTGCCTGGCCCAGGCTCCCAAATAATTACTAGCTAATTACTATCAATTGCCACGTGGTCGTTCCAATGACTCCAGGAACCGACCAGCCACTCTGCGAGTCAGTCTGCAAGCACCCTTGCGAGGGGCTCGCGCACCCGGCCTGTGCCAGCTGGACGGCCCCTTCCGCAAGCCTCCCCACGCTGGCCGTAGTTCCTAAGCAGAGGCCCGGTCAGAGACTGCCAGACAGAGGCTTCCCCCAGGGGTCACATAGGAGGCCCAGTGACCAGCAAGCACAGTCCCAGGGAAGACAGCCCTGGAGGACATGGCCCAGCTCCTGACCTTCCTCGAATCCCAGCCATGCAGGGGGGCCCAGACCCGCCGTGGCAATACCGGGTTCCGCTGAGCTGCGTCACCCACCTCAGACGCGTTGACACGGCCCTCCAGGAAGGCGCAGTCGGCAGCGTTGTGCGTGCACACGTGGCGGTATTTGCACCAGTGACAGGGGAAGGAGCCGTTGACACAGGACAGGCAGCTGCAGGGAGAGGGCCGGCCAGTGAGGCCAGGACGGCGGGCAGCTCCACCCACAGCCGCGCAGCGCGGCACCTGCCTCCTGCCTCGCCTGTGCTCACCTGCAGGGCCAGTCAGGGCCTCTGCCCTGGCTGTGCCCTGCTCCTCTGGCCGCCGGTCTGCACCAGCCCACCAGGCACCCCCGTCCTTCACCGCTTTTCCTCTAGGCCCTGAGCACCTGCCCAGTGCAAGTCCATGGCGGTGACCAGCCGCCTCCGCAGGCCACACCTGCCAGTTACTACCCGGACACCAGCCAGTGCAAGCAAGGACGTGTGTTTTACACATCATCTCTTCCTCGTTAACTTGGAGTTACATTTAGGGGCGAGCAGTGGCTGTGGCAGCGGGTCGGTAAGACATGTGCCTCCCCAGCCAGAAGCAGGCTCTCCCCGCGGCAGCTGGGCCGGCTCGTTCCGGCACGCCCCCAGGGCCTGCGCAGGGTCCTCGGGGTGCTCTGGCCAGCAGGCCCCACGGCTCACACCCCCTCGTCTGGCTAGATGGGGCACCCGCGCCCCCACAAGGATGCGGGTTCTCCTCACGCCCACCCGCGGCCCTGCTGGCCTGCGTTCAGCTGCTCTCGTGCAAGCCCCTCCGGCAGCCCCACGCCCGCCCAGGGACACTCACGACTGGTGGACGCTGCAGTTGTAGAAGACAAAGTCCACAGACGCGAACTTCTTGCCTGTCTCCTTGGACTTCAAGTAGAGCTTCACCACCCGCTGGTCGCCTGCAGAAGCCGCACCCCGAGTCACCAGAAACTCAAGCAGGACGAGCCCCAGCAGGGGGAGACCTTGCCCAAGGCCCCGGGCGCCAACACCCCGCGCACACCCGCCCCCGAAACACCCCAGGGCCTCGGAGCACCCCGCACCCTCCCTCTCACCTATGCTGCCCCGCAGCCCTCTGCCACCCAGTCACGCGGCCCAGCCCGCGGCCGCTCTCACCCTGGCCGCGCGTGATGGGCGCCACGTCCCGCGCAGAGGGCGAGCGGCAGTGGATCCGGCCCTCCTCCAGGATGCCCTCGGACTCCGTGAAGTCCTCGAAGGAGCAGTTGACGCCAGCCGAGAGGTCGGGCACGTTCCAGGCCTGCAGCACGAGCTGGGTCCCAAGGCCGGGCGGGGGGTGAGCCGGGTCCCCTGGCCTCCGCCCACCCCCCAGCCTGCGCCCGGCCTCTGCACTCACCGGCACCCGGGACATGGTGACGGAGACGTTGCGCGGCTGCACGGTCAGCTGCACGCACTGCAGCAGGTCGGAGGCGAAGCGCTGGGGCTCCTCGGCCCGCTCGCAGGCGTCCTGCCTCGAGCAGCTGCAGGCAGAGCAGGCGGGCTGGGTGCCGCTGCAGGCCGGAGCAGTCCCCCGCCCGCCAGCCCCCATGGGGGTGGCTCTCCAGGGCCACCTGCCCCTGCTAGCGGGCTGCTGCCTGCACCTTCCTTTACTGGAGGGGCTGTGCTGGGCACAGGAACTGTCAAAGCCGGAGCACCCTGCCAGGTGAGACCCCGCAGGGCTGGGAGGGAGCAGCGACTGCGCGAAGCATACAGCCCCCGGGGCCGCCCCCACGCCCCGTCCAGACTCACATGCTATGTAGGACACACCAGCCGCAGTGTGGGTCCCTCGAGCCCAAGCACAGCTCACATGACGTATACTGTACGCAGCTCTCCACAGGCACCCGGGTCACCTGGCAGGAGCGGGGGTGTGCGGTGAGCCACCCACAGACGAACCCACAGCTCCAGCTGGGTTCTCAGCCACCTGAACGGACTCCAGGCTTCGCCGGGGCCACGGGCTCACCTCCCCACTCCTACACATCCAGTCAGACTTCTCCCCACCCTGACTATGTCTGCTCGGCCCCAGGGTGCCTAGGGACGGAAGAACCCTCTAGTAGGAGGGGCAGGGAGAGGCTAGACCAGGCCAGGAGAGAGAGGCCTGATCTCAGCATGGCAGCCTTGGGGTCACCGGTCAAGCAGGAAGGCAGAGGTGGGCCAGGTCAGTCACAGCCCCTCCCGCTCTGGAGGCTGCTGCCGCCCCCAGCCCCCACCAGGGCCGTGAGGCCACGGCCAGGACCCAGGCCAGGAGCAGGGATAGCCACGCCCTGATCGTGCTGCAATCAGCCCCTGCTCCTGGGAACGTGAAGTCATTCAGAGCGGAGGGGGCACTGCAAACCCAGTGCGGAAGAACCTGGACACAGCATGGGCCACACTGGGTCCCCGGCAGGCCCCCCCCACACACACCAGGGGCGACGGCACCCACCTGCTTTTCCGTCATGGCGTAGAGGTACTGGCGGTCAGGGCTGAGCACCAGGTCGCGCAGGATAGGGCTGCCTTCTTGGGCCACCACACTCTCGTAGGCCAGGGCTGGCCGGCTGCCAGGGCTGGTCAGGTCCACCAGGATCTGCGGCAGCGAGGGCCTGATGGGGCTGTGCCGATGCCACGGCTCCAGGCCCGCGCCCACCTCCACTGCGGCCTCCCGCCTGCCCGAAGAGCTGGGCGGCCCCGGGGGGCGCAGACAGGCAGGTCCTGGCCCAGCCTCGGTCAGCCAACAGGCCAACGTCACGGACGGGGCTGGGGCTGGAGAGACCCGCAGCCACCACCCGCCGGCACGGCCGTGCCCAGGACAAAGGCAGCGGGCGTCCCGCTTCCGGGGGGCCTCCCAGAAGGGGGGGCTATGTGCAGCAGGGAGAGGGCCTCTAGGGAACACGGGATGTCCAGGGAGACGCGAGACCGGAGCCTCACGAGAACGCAGGGCACCCTGGAGGGGGCACTCCCGCCCCGCGGCAAGGCGGCAGAGGAGGGCAGCATCTCATCGGCATGGAAATATATTCCAGATCCCAAACAAACCGGGCGCTAATTAGCCAGCTCTTCTCCTCCACAGCTTGCGATGCTGCAAGTATTTTTAGTTGCTTTTACCAAACAAATGTATTTAATTAACAGAGAGACCCAGGGGGCTTTCCAGAGATGGGACTCGTGGCGCGGCGTCCACCCTGCTCAGGCAGCCCTGGGCGGCTCCCGGCCGTGGGCAGCCAGCCCTGCTCTGCGCCTCCCTCCGGCTGCCTGGAGCCCGGGCCAGCCCTCCTCTACCTCCACTTTGGGGCCGGGCGCCCGGGCCAGAACTCAGCCTAGTACCCTCCTCGACACCCCCACAATGATGGGGTGGGGTGGCCTGGGGTGGCCTGCAGGGCCGGCTCGGCCGCCTCCAAGGGCGGCCAGCCAGGGTGGGGCGCTGTGTCTCTGGGCCAGAGCAGCGGCTCTGGGCTCTGGAGAGGCGGAGGGGGAGGGCCGCATTCCTGAGAGCCCACTGCCACCCCCCACATCCGCTCAGCTGCCTCCCCGCCAGGCAGGCAGGCTTAAGTCAAACCAGACCCGGAAGAGCTGAGTCCAGTGCTAGCAGGGGAAGGCGGCCTCTGGCTCAGCGGGACACCGCGGGGCCAGGT